AGGTAACCGTACCAAAACCATCCCTAGAGATGAATATGCGAAATGCCCAAGTGATGCCATCGCCAATAATTAGAGTGTGGAACTTCAGACAACAGTATTAAAAATGTTCTCTTGTTATTGTCTAACTGAGAAAGACTTTTGAGATCGTATCAATGTTTTAAGTCCATACTAAACCAGCTACAACGGTCGGATCATCTAGGATTGCTACCACCCCTTATTGTGGAAGAAAAAATAATCAACATTCAAAAGCATGTTTGTTTTAAAGATGGATAACCCACATGAGAAAATAAGCATCGTTTATCGTTTTTTTTTTCAGCCAACCAATGTTGAAGATCTTGTCAGCCTACTTTTACATTTTTTGGCCTTAACAGGAACGATATGTTTTTCTATATAAATGCCTATTAGCTCACAAATATTATGACAGAAGAAAACATACAATCTCTTGTTTCCATTTGTAATTTCCATTTGATAATAAGAGAGATTACTACTGCTGCCCTAATAACGTAGACACACTTGCCGAACCTCGTAAATATTATGTCTTATTTACTTTATTCCACTGCATCCATACCATCGATTTCACAACAATGTTGATAACGACTTTGTTTTTCAATTTTCAGTTTCACTGTTTTGACAACTAAACACTTGTGGGTAATTTTTATCAGTTTTTATTTTTTAAATAAACAAAAATTGATTTCAAAATGGAGCCAAATTTTGAATTCTCCAAAAATAATTCTAGTTTTCATTTTTGACAAACAAACAAAAAATTGTTTCCATTTCTTCACACCCGTTAATGGTTCACCAATATTATATCATAATATGAAGGTAAAAGAATCATACATCGGTAAAAGGAGAAACTTTGTAAGAACTTATAATAGGTTAGGCTACTCCTCATATTGTCAATTTGTTAAATGGTGAATCCTCAACTTTCGTCATGGCATTAGAGTAAGGTAGCCAACGTGTGAAGCCCAACAATCACACGTGTTGCACGTTACTCAATTTGTGTTGTTCACATGTTTGACTTAAAAATTCGTCATATGTAAGGGGGAGTGTGAGAATGTGAACGTAAAAGAATCTCATATCGGTGAAAGAAGAAACATTGTAATGGTTTATAAGAGGTTAAACTGCTCCTCATATTGACAATTAGTTTTACGATAGAATCTCACTTTTCATTCTATGACCTCAAGTTTACAATTTAACCCCCAAAAAATGTCATTTTCATAGTTCCACCTGAAACTAATACTAAAAACGCTTACGAAACAAATTTCTAATAATTTTTTCTAATACTAAAAACGCTTACGAAACAAATTTCTAATAATTTTTTTCTTCAATAAAAATTAAAATTTGAAATGATTATCAAACAATAGATAAAATAAAATCCTATCCGACAAGAACAACTTCTCTTGATCTGGAAATGGCCTTGTTCATTTACCCCATGGGTCAACTGGAAACCCAAAATTATGATCTGGGCTTTTTTCGACTTTGGGTCTAAATTTATGATTTAGTTTCATTTGTTTTCTAAATTCGTGTTTTGGACTTGGTTTTCAACAACAAGAAGTGGATTTCATAACGCAGTCGCATTGCCTTTTCTCTCCTGTCAAATTTGGTGTGTGCTGCTCTCGTTACACGTTAAAAATCCCATTCCTTCCTTTCCACCAATTGTCAGCTTTGGAACACTATAATATTCTATCTTTCAGGTTTCGTATGATCATATTATCAATTTTTCCATAGAACTCGAATAACAAATTTACACGTTTCTTTCCGTTATAACCTTTGAGAATTTGACTATAAAACTGGTACGTGTTTAATACAATCATCATCTTAGATAGTCATCATATTAAATACACGTACTCACTTAAATTATATATGACCCTCAAATGGTGATCATATCGAACCAAGACTAAATCGAACAAAAGAAAAAGCTGAACCGAACCAAACAGTAATTTTGGTTCGGTTTTTTATTTTGACAAAAAACCGAAGCGATTAAAACCAAACCCACCCCTAATTATAATCAATTCCAAAATTTAGACTTATCTTTGTGGCAGTAAAAGCTTTAACGAGTGAGTTAAGTCTCACAATGAGCTAGCAATAATGTGGTTTAAATTTACCTTTAACAAGAATCGAACTTAAAACCTCTCACTTACAAGTAAAAAAAATACCACTAAATTGTGTTACTAAATAACAAACCTTTAGATGTGAGGATTCCAATTAAGCAACTCCCTTTTCAAGGAGATGAGGATTTGGAAGGGAACTTTACTAAAATAAAGTGAGGTCGCGGTATTGGAAATTACATAACTAGAAACAGAAAATAATAATATGGATAATTTTATCAAAATACTATTCATCCACAAGCTTTACGATTTGAGGAAATAACACAAATAAAACAAATTTAAAAGAAACATTGCTGCAATTTACATAGTAGTAGACTGAAAATTGTCCCTTTTTTTTCTTTGTTTGTTGTAGTTTGATAACTATTTCAGTTTTCATTTTGAATTTTGAATTTTGGTGAGTTTTCATAATTTGCCTTTATTTTTTTTAGTTTAAAAAATAATAGAAAACTAAAACCAAAAAAAATAAATATAGTTATCAAATGTGTCCTAGTTGTTGAGCCCTTGCATGACGGCGTAAGTTTAAACCCCGTCGGTGGCTAATCTAACAAAATTCATCGTTTGACAAAAAAAAAAAATGTTCCAGTTGTTTACCATGCCATTTTATTTTCTAGTTTATTTAATGATATTTTGGCACACACACGTAATAAAAGGGTAAAATCTTTTAAAACGATGAAAATTGAATTATTCTTTGTGATTTAATATTTCAAAACAATATAATGCATCTATAAAAGAATGAAATGATGAATCTATCTAGACTACTCTTTTTCTTCTTATATTTTGTCCTAATTAAACAAACACCAAAAATAAATATACTTTAAAATGCTTTAAGTTACCCTAACACAGTACTAAACAGAAGCCTTGCAATCGTGTGTACTTCTTAATATCGCAATATTATATCACTAATAATCTTTAAACTGTCAAAAAAGTGTGATATACCAAAAGAGAGAACAAGAACATGTCAACAAAGTGTCTTAAAAAAGACTAAAAACGTAGCAAACATGTCTTTTTAAAATCACATTTTCCTTTTCTCCCTTGTTACTTTTTGAAGAACGACCCATTTCGAGGTCCAATACAAAAACGGTCCCCCCAAAATTCCATAAAGCATCTTTTTTACCCGGATGATCCGTATCCACTTTTGCAGCCCATCACCCCACTTTTATCTTTAACCCCTTACGATTGGGTTGGAGACTTTGGACTTTGGAGCCCTTGGACCAAAAAAAAGCAGACCATAAACTTCAATTTCTTCTTCTTCTTCTTTTATTACTTCTACACACACAAAATACTGCACGTCCATATATATATATATATATATTATTATTTTTTTTTTTTTTTAATTTTTTCCTTGTCACGTGCGACGACACGATAAGTGACAAAAGCTCGGAAGGGGCACAATGGTGACTTGTGTCGATCTAGGGTTAGGGTTTTTGCTACAAGACGAAAACCAAAACCAATACCATTTTACGAGTACGACAAAGATATTCCAAATTCTAATTCTATATTAATTTCCATCACCTTAACTCCTCTCCGGAGACACTTGAAATGGATCTCTGTCTCAATGTTCACACTCACATTGTGCGGGTTTACAGAGTAAGATTTCTACTATTGTAGTCCGACGACCAAACTTTATACGTAACTTGACTCGCTTAATCTATTATCATCCTTATTAAAAAAAAAAAAAAAAGTGTTCACACTCGTTGAGTTTTTAAATCACCCCCAAAATTAATAAATTAACAGACATAGGGTCAGAGAAAATTGCCATACATGTAACCTGTGGCTGTGGAAATAATGATTTGGTCAAAGTTTTATGAAAGTCATAAAAAGGGGGTTTATTAGCAAATTAAAGAAAGTTATATTTATGTATGGAAACCAAAAACTACTGGTCAAGAAGTGAAAGATATGGGAAAGATCGAAAGAGAGAGAAAGAGTGATGTGAGCATGCAATGAATGAAAGGAGAAGAATTAGAGTTTTAAGGGGTTGGATCAGAGAAACTTAAAGTGGGAAAAGGCAAAGGTTTCTCGTCCAGAGAAGGAGAAGAAGAAGCAGAGAAGCATTGATAGAAACACGTCAAACCCTTATTTTTCAGTCAGTTTCTATTACATTTCGCTTTCATCGAAGACCCCACTCTTTTGTTGTTTTTGTCTCTCTTTATTTCTCATATTTTTTAAAACTACAACACGTTCTCGTGTATTTGTAAGAATGTATTTGTTTTTTTCCTGCGCGGAGTACTGACACAGTTTTCATAGAAAACGAGAAATAGAGATTGTAACCTTGATCAAACGACATGATGGCTTCCTCTATATTCAGTAAATCATAGTATATATATGCTTTTCTGCTTTCACCAAAATAGTCACGACTGATGAGATGATAATAAGAATAATTATTATTATTATGGTTTTGATCATCGTTTGTTTTTTAACAACGAATTGTCTTGCAGCTGCGTGTCAGCTGCTTTTTCATATTTAACTATTATTTTTACATCTCTATTTTTTTTTCTTCTCAATTTTCTCTTTATTTTTTTGTTATCAAACCGAGTATTTTCCAAAGTTTCTAATGTGATTCAGAGCATCCTATATAGTGCAGGATTTTTAAGCATTAATGATCAAGACGTAAACTAAAAACCCTATAACCCGCAATACAAGGTATGTACACCAGAGCATCCTAAAAATTTTCATTCCGATGTCACATACTCACACCTGTACGTATAAGCCATTAATGGGTCGACTGATCAGAGAAATTGAGCCCTAGAGCAAATTTTCAAAGAAACAGACCGTAAATTCTCAGCTTTCTTTCTCTCTCTTCCTCTCACAGAGGCATTAATGTAACTGAAACATTCAGGGATGACAACCAGAAACTGCAGAGTAGAAAGAAAGGAAAGAAAGACCCAACAATCGAGACCAACAATAAATTGCATCACTGAAGACATATAGATCAAACAACTAAACCAAAAACAAAAAAAACATGGCCATTTAATTTGAACTCAACTCAAAATTTAAGATATCCACTAAAGTTAATTATATATACAGAGAGATCAGAGTAGTAGTACTCGATCACAGACACCCACACGCACGCAAACACAGGACACTTTTGATCATCACTTCATCAGCAATATAGATCATCCTAAAACTCCATCTCATCTCAGCAGACCCAAAATGCAATCAAACGATAAAACTGAAAAATGTAAAGTAATAAAAATAAAACCTTTTAAAAAGCTCTAATGTGGGATTTGGTGACTAATGAGAGCTAGAACTAACATCTGGATGGAGGCATGAGGTGGAGTCCTAAATCATCCTTCTCCAAAATCAAACGAGCCTTGCTGGCCTCCATCATGTTGTTCCCATGGTGATTATTCGAGCCGTACTCCTCCGGGTGCAATCGTTTCTTCGAATGAAGCAGCGGCACCCCAAAAAGTTTAGTGTTCTTGCACCCATTGTTACCGCTCGGAGGCTGCTGGTGATGGTCTTCGAGAATAGTGACGGAGGAGCTCTTCGACGTGGTGTTGCTCATCGGACTGGAAGAGTTCATGATATGATGAGGGTTTTGTTTGGCATTAGGTGGAGGAGCAGCCGGATAGTACCCTAGAAGTTGGTTCAAATTACTATTAGGACCATTATGTTTAGGAGGCTGTGGGTTGCAGAGAAGCATGGAAGAAGGGTATGAGTTGCTCGGAGCCACCGGCTTGACATGGTTCTGAACAAAGTAGATGATGTCGTTGTAGAGTTTTCTCATATGTGCCAGCTCAGACATTAGCATGGTGTTGCTCCTCCGCAGCCTCTCGTTGTCCTCCGCCAAACCCGCCACCGTGGTATTATTATTGTTAATATTCATGAAATTATTGTTGTTAGAGTTAATGTTTGTGTTAATACCTCCCGTTGGGGATAAGAGAGGAGGGGAGTCCGAATCGCACCAGTTGGGCTGCTCGTCCGAGTCGGAGGGCGAGATGCTGCCGGGACTTGGGAAGGGGAAAAAGCCAGGATGGTGGTGGTGGCCGTTCATGCCGAGTTGGGAGTGGTGGTGGTGGTGGTGGCTGAGACCCACCTGATGTGGCTGAGCTGTTTTTCTCCGGTGGATCTCGCAAAGCAAATGCTTCTCTCCCTTTTTGAAGAACTCGTTCGCAAACTCCCATCTGTCCGGTACAATCTTCCTAAAACCCTAGAAAATATCCCAAAAACGAACTAAATAAACCCCACAAACAAAAAAGTAGATAGATATAAACAAATTCGTAAGATTACTATTATGTGAAGAGATTTTATGAGATGAGATGATTACATAGGTGTTGAGCTGGCGGACGAAGCTTGAGAAGTTGTTGTGCTTGAAGTAGTTGGGGAGGAGGTCGCGGGCGAACTCGGGAGGGCGCCAGACAACGAAGGTGGTGTCGTCGTCGCCCCACGAGACGATGTGGTCGGTGGCGGGGTCGTCGACGAGCTGGTAGGTTTTGGTCAGGAACGGCGCCGGGACCGACTTGTGGGAGTCCAGAGAGAGCAGTATGCCCTCGCAGTTGTCTATCATCAACGCCATTGAAAAAGGTTTCAGAACTTTAGAGAGATAAGGAAAGAGGAGAGAAGATCTGATGAGGAAATGAAGACACAGAGAGAGAGAGAGAGAGAGAGAGAGAAAGGGGGGGGGGGGGGGGGAGAGAGAGGGAATGAATGTTTGTTGTGAGTGTTTGTGAGAAGCTTGGGGGGATAAAAATGTTGGAGAAAAGGGGATGGTTGTGGTGGTACTAGTAGTAGTAGTAGTAATACTGTGTTTATTTTGCTTTTCGTTTTTTTGTTTTTTCCTTTTCTTTTGTTTATAATATTTATTGGAAAATAATAATAATTTAGAAATGATATGTGTGATATTATAAAACTTTGAGTGCTAATGGAAAGGGATCCTCTCCTTATCTTTTCCTCATAATCCACCAAATCAGAGGATTTGTGTTGTTGAAATTTGATCCAACGACTAAAGTTATTATAACTTTTATAATAGGTCTCTGTTTGTAGCCGTTGGATCAAATTTTAACGGTACAGAGCTTAATTTGGTGGATTAAAAGTAAGAGATCCGGAGAAGATCCCATTCCTTGATAGTATACTTACTTTTTTAGATTACATTTGTAAATTATGTGATGTGTTACTAATAAAAATTAATCACGGTACAGAGCTTAATCACGTTAATCAATACTTAAATAATAATTCAATCATCAACAAATACGTGATATAGTTTATAAAATATATTTTAAATATAAGAGCTTTTAGATTTTAGGGCTTCAATAAGATTGTTTTAGATTCTAACCTGAATGATTTTCAAAATCTAATATAAGTCTTTATTTTAAAACTTACCATATGAGTAATTATAGCACATCTATTATTTATGTTACCATTCAAAATTCTTTACCCATACATAATAAATGTATTTTATTTGTGCTCCAATCATATTAATAGATACAAATTTAATAAAAATTCAAATTCTTATTATTAAAAAAATTCAAAAACAAAACAAAAACAAATTGTACATAACTTTCGGTACCTTATTTGATTTATAGGCACGGAAGTATCGGTACATAAGTTTCGGTACGAATGTATCAGTACATAACTTTAGGTACCTTATTTTACTCTAGGTATAGAAGTATCGGTACGTAGGTTTCGGTACAAATGTATTAGTACATAACTTTCGGTACAAATGTATCGATACGTAACTATAGTATCTAAACATACATATGTGCGTAATATGCATATACATAAATATGGAGAAATTTACACACAATGAAAAATATATGATAAATAACATTTTTATTATTTATGGGAAATCAATGTATAACCTACAAACAAAAAACTCAATAATTATCATAACCTATTTAATATTAAAAAATTACAATTAAATGCCAAGGATTAGAATTAGTTTTTAATCTTAGACAAGAGACAAGGATTAAAATAAAATTTTCTGTTAAATTTATAATCTCTCTAAAATTACTGTAAAATTTTTGCTTCCCTCCTCGGCTATGTTATGTGTGGGAGAGAATATGTGTCTGTCTGACTAGGACTGTGAAATAAGGGCCTTTCAAGACAAACCCGTGACCCTCTTCCTTCTCTCTCCTCTCTCTCTCTCTCTCTCTCTAACTCTTTCCTTCTCTCTCATACACTGGCTTTGTACTGACTCTCTCATACACTGGCTTTGTACTGACAATCGATCCCGCGCACACCCATTTAAAATTACGCACAGGGAGGAGGAAGATGGTGCAGGAGTACTACTGTACCCCTTGTCTTTGTTAAATGACAATACTACCCCTCTCCCTCCCCAACATCCTTTGAATGGTCTCATTGGTTACTAGTTTTTAATTAGTTAGTAAGCTATAAGCTGTAGAGGCATTTCCATATATATATATATATCAATGCGCTTTTGCTTTTGTTAGGCCTCAGCTTGTGTAGTGCCTCCTAAGGTAGTTCTGATGATTCTGCTTCTTCTGCTCATTCTGCTAGTTTCTGCAATCTGCAAATCTGCTTTGGTGTTAGTGGTAGTACCATATCATTTAATTCAACCCTAAGATGCATAGCATTGCTTGCATGTATGTATGCCCAGATCATGTCTAGTCATATATATTCAAACAGTTCTCAGATTAATTTTGACATTGGACTTGCATTGTCTAATACAAGTGAGATAGTTAATGTTCGGTTTTCTCTAACGCGCATAGTATAAAAAGGATAAACTTGACTAGATGTGGAGCAATCAATCGACAGACAGGATGCAGTTAATATACTGATTGCTTACAAAATTTGTCCAACATTGTAGAACTTCTACTTTAATATGACCAAAAATCGTCGATAGGTACAATACAACTAATAATTGATTGACAAAATACAATTGATCAATTGATACATGCCAAGCCATTGACACAGTACAACTAGTCAGTTTGCTACTCACCTTCCACAACTATTCCGCAATATTTTTCTTGGGTTGAAGAATTTTTGCTAATATTGTAACCTAAAAATTGTTAAACTTGCAATATGTTTTAGTAATGCGAAAACCCTAGCTAGCTAGAACGATTGATTCCCTCATGATATACAAATCCAATGCATTAAAATACACTCGGGAATAAGCATAATTACTCGTAAATAGCATGATCAATGAGGTATGTTGGTCCTCCACTAATAATCTATTAGAGAAAAAATTACAAAATACAATGAATATTGCATGGTTATTTGAAGAGGGAGAATCTTGGAGGAGAAGCCTAGAAGGGTATGTTGGTCAAGGAAAATATTAAATTATTGGTCATAGGGTAATGTAAATGTTAAACAAAAGATAAAAGAAAGGAAGGAAAGGAAAGTTCACGTCAAACGAGTGTCCTCTTTTTCAATTTGTAAGTTTCCTTTTGTTGTTTAATAAGAAGCACCAAACCAAACCAAACAGAGTCTCCAATTTCGAATCCCCATCATTTCTACTCTCTCTCTCTCTCTCTCTCTCTCTCTCTCTCTCTATTAGGGTAGTAGGGGTGTGATATCTACACGTTCCTTTTTACTTCCTATATACCTTTTTAATTTTTAGCAATCGGATCAGATGAAATGAAGAAGATCAACGGACTGAAATTAACAAAAGATGTGTGAGAAGTAAAAAGAAGTGCGTGGATAGCATACCCCTTTCTATTACTCGTGCCCTTTTTTTCTCTCTCTCTCTAGTAGATATATATATAAGAATAATGTTAGAGAGATTAAATTTATAAATTAAATAATGTGTCATCAATAGGAATAAGCATGTTTATCACATTTAAGTAATCAACCAATCATCAACTTACACGTCCTTTAGTTTTCAAAATTGTCTATTCTAATTTGGTCTCTCTAACATTAACCTATATATAAGGTAAAGGATACATCGAACAACGTGATGGGATTTAAAGCCTGTTTCTTCATGACGACATTTTCTTCCTCTTCCCTTCCTTCTATTTCTATTGCTTAACCTTCTCTTCCATTTGCTTCTCTCTCTCTCTCTCTCTCTCTCTCTCCCGCTCTGGCCACTACGACCTTTTACTCACTAACTTACAAGCTTAATCTTCTCTCTCTCTCTCTCTCTCTCTGGCCACTACGACCTTTTACTCACTAACTTACAATACCTCTCTCTCTCTCTCTCTCTCTCTCTCTCTCTCTCTCTCTCTCTCTCTAGCCCTGCCAACCAGCTGCTTTTGACATCCACCATCGGTTGGCTTGGCTTCTTTGTTGACGTGTCCAGGTGATTGAATTATTGGCCCCAAAAGTTTACGTGAATAAACTCAAAAAAACAAAAATTATATTACAGCTTTTTCCTCCTCTCTCTTTTGTAATGCCCAAGAAATATTCTTTTCTTTTTACTCTCTCTATCTCGCTGACTCTCTGTGAAAAGAGAGTAGGAAGAGGCATATATGTGTTTCGTTTTTCTTTTTACATCTCATTGAGATTCAATACTAATGACATCTTCCATAATACAAAGTGATTCACTTTTCACCTTACAAATACAAAATAAGAGGTGAAAATCATAAACTAAAAACTAACAATTAATGAAATGTTGAATGTGTGGAGGGAGACTAAAACTTGTTATCGATACTATTCTTAATTAATGTTTTTTTTCTTTGAAGATTTAATTGATTATTGAAGATATTCGTCACTTGGCCGGTTTCTTTAACTCAACTTTAGAGACATTTGTTCATGAAGCAGATGAACTGTTATTAGACATTCAGTCAGCGGAACTTACTTCTGGAATCACATTATTCCTACTGTTGTGCTCGACATGTTTTTATTTTTAATTTCACTTGTGTGGTTATGGTTTGTAAATGTGTATGTGTGTGTGTGTGAGTGTGTATATTTTTTTTCCCTTTTTGTATAAAAAAAAAATATTTATGAATGCTCCCATTTTATTTTTTAAAATTTTGCGTAGTACCTAGAAGTGTCACAATGTAATGTGACCATTGGAAGAAGGTATAGCTTGAGATAGATTGCATGAAAGTCATTGTAATAAGTGGCCACTAAGGAATCCTATTATATAAAAGTAAGGAATGGATTTTATTTTGTGATGATAAGTGAAAGACTGACTGCAAGGAGTAGAGAGGGGTAGGGATTGTAGGGACACAATCAGGCCTTCCAGGTGCAAAGTGAAAACAATAGGAAAATGATGGCTAATTATTTCACAGAGATACTCAACTGATTATTTTGATCATGCCTATGATTCTCATTATTTGGAAAACAAAGTTAAACTCATCAAACCGTCCCAGTTCAGTTCCCCACTTATAATTTCTCACTTTTACATTTTTTCGGCGCTTTCCTCATTTGAAATTCACACAACAAAAGATTATTAGAAAACTCCTCGTGAGTGAGAATAATATTTAGACACATAAGACGCATTACGTTGCAAACACTTTAGAATAGAGTCCGACTGTACATTGTATTTTCTTACATTTATCAAAGAGTATGTCCGCAATATTGCGAGCTACATACATGTATAATTAACATTACTCTATGTATCAATATTTAAAACGAAGTAAATTTTATTTTCAAAAGACCAATTTACAAATTTATAACCTACAGTGTTTATGTTTTAAAAATGTACTTTTTTTTTTCTTTTTTCTTATCAGATGTCCTCGAAGGGACAAAAGAGGTGGAGGGATGCAACACGAGGACTTCCCAGGAAGAAAGGGTGTCTGTCAAACAACCATGTGACCACCCCAGCCGGTTGTTGGCTGAGAACGATCATCTACTGCTCAAA